AAACATGCGTTGCTGCGTCTCAAAACGCAACGCAGCAGTGCGAAGGTCGGTGTATGCATCACCTGCTGCATGTAATGTGGTGTACGAACGAACATCATGTGGCAGCGAACGTAAAAGCATGATGGTCAGATCACTTGTTTGCACCTCAAGTCCAACTCTGGACACAGTTGCAGGTAGAGTTTCAATCATCTTGCGAAACCTTGACAGTCCGACGTCAATCTGGCGGATGATGTCACTAACCTGAGTAACACCAGCAGACGCTTTAAACGTCTTTGCCAAAAACTCAGTGCGAAAGAAAGACGCTTCTGCCCTTGAACGCAAAGAAAACTCTCTTGCCAACAAACGCAAACCTTCAAAACCACTCGTACCTCTAGTTGCCAAGAACGCTCCATCAACACCAACTCCTTCAACATAAGCTTGCAGCATGGTGTTCCCCCTTGGGAAATCCTTAAACGTCTGGATGAGGATTGCAAGAAGACGCGCGCTGCGGGTCTGTTGAGCGGGCTTCAGCACAGACATATGGATCTCTTGTTCCCAACCAATGCACTGGGCAATCTCCCAGGCAAAGATGTCACTTCCTAAGGAAACCCAAGCACGTAGCGCCTGAACCCAGTCCGAAAATCCAAGGACTTCATCTGCACGGGTTCTCCAGTTCCTGAAATCCACAGTGGGCATAGGAGGTAACCATTTCTCAGATTTACTAAAGATGTCACGACCATCTCTCTCGTCATCTTGATTCGGATTTCTCTCCCCTCTCTGGGGTGTCACTTGTGCTATACCTGGCGGCGACCCCACAGGTCGGAACGCAGGTCCTGGACTCGTGGGTGGCTGTTCACCAAACCGTGAAGGTCCACTGCTTAAACCTGAAGACAAGGATGCATCAGCCGGTCTCGCACCGTGCAAGGCTGCAGTTCCCTCTGGAACGCGAGTCACCTGAGCTTGCAAACTGTCAAGTCTCGTACTCATCTCCCTTACGACAGGCTCAATTCCCATGCGGAAGATCTGTGCGATCTGGGTCAACTGATCTGGCGTGAACAAAGGACCTTGCGGACCTGGACTTCCTGGCATACTAGGCTGCTCCTGGTGCGTCGGTGACGCAGGTTGCGGACTCCCCGGTCCAACTTCTCCAACAGGGTACGGTCCAGTCGGTCCACCTGCCTGAAAACCCTTACCATATCCTTTCTCTCCGCTTTGGGTACCTTGGCCGTCCATTCGAAAATGCTGTGGTTGTCCTGATTGAGACATTTCTGACACCTCGAAGTCAAACACACGACAGTCAAACGCAACTCACACCAACTTCCCTGGAACCAGGCACACACAAGACGCACACAGGCGTGCCAGATCCTCACAGGATCTCTTGTGGAGGGAGCACACAAGCTCCGCTACCACGTAAAACTTTGACACACAAAGTTAGATCGCGAAAACCGCTTTCAAACCTCTCGTGCACAAAGTAAACCCAAACCAAAACACAAACAAACGGTGGTCGTCTCGCGTTTCTGTCTGTGTCAGCTTACGTGGGCTTTCTATGAATATCGGATGGTTATCAATTCAGAGTGCTGGAACATTATAATCGATGAGAACATGAAGGAACCTCTACTGGGGGGAGATACATGACGTATCTGAATTTCAATGTCATTTTGGAACCAATTTTTGGGAGCCAGCGAGTTCCTAGGCCGTCTCACGGCGACACACACCCTTTTCGAGCTCGCGGTTCTTGAGCCAACGTTTACGTTGGGTCATAGCAGTTCCAAAAACGATTCTACAAATCTAGACACGTACAAAAAACAAAGTTCTACGTGGCAAAAACCTAAGATTGGTTTCGTGCAGTTTGGTTCTCGTGTGGAATAACCTACAACGTGCAGAAAACCTAAAAACGGCTAACTACCAACGAAAAATTGCAACTCCGTCATAACTCTTTCTGACGGAATGAGATGAGATTGATTCACTACATCACAATCACCTGCTAACTACAAAACAAAGTCCAAACTACGCAAGTCCACAAACTACTCTAGAGGCCCTTCGCTGCAAGACTAGACTTGGTGCCAGATTTTGGGCCCAAAACCGGGTCCTGTTGCAGAGTTCAAAAATTAGACTTGCGTGTCTCGGTTTCAGTGTGTGTGTGTGTGTTGCTTTCTGTCTTTCTCTGTCTTTCTCTGTCTTTGTTTTACAGGCAGAGTGCATTGTAAGCCGAAAAACCCTATTGACCCGCGTTTGTGTTTTTTCGTCCTTCCACCTTTGCGCGCTTTGTGCACGCGATGCGACTCCCTCTTCTCTTCCTCCATGTGCGGGATTTCAGGGTCGTACAGGTGTGACCTGCAAGGTCCTAGGCACACTCGGTACAAGGGAATTTGAGGGTCGTAGGTGTGACCTGGAAGGGTCGTAGGTGGAGGTTTGAGGGTCGTAGGCGCTCCCAACAAGGGGATATGCAGGTGGTAGGTGTGGCATGGAATTGTCATAGGTGGAAGTTTGTGGGTCGTAGGTGCGCTCCCCATACAAGAAGATTTGCAGGTCGCAGGTGTGACCTGGAAGGGTCGTAGGTGGAGGTTTGAGGGTCGTAGGCGGGCTTGCAGGGTTGCAGATAGGGTGTACCTTACACACCGTGGGGGTGTGGTACACCTTAAACACCGGTGTGGTTCACCTTAAACACCAGGGCTGTGGTAGACCTTAAACACCGGTGCCCCTTTTGAAGTTATTCCGAGGTTGCGTTCAGGTTTGCTAGAAGTCAGCTTGGGGTTTATCTTTGGGTGAGCTGGAGCTCACCTGACCTAGAGGTCAGCCTGAGGTTAGCTTGGACGTTGAAGCAAGTTTGAGGTCGAGGTCACCTAAACCTCAGCTTGGAAGGCAGCTTGAGGTCACCCGGAGGTCAGCCGGCCCCTTGTCCCAGCAGCGTGTTGGGTCCGAGAAGGTGGTGAAAGGGTGTTCTGTGTTGGGGTGCCTTATATAACAAGGTTCCTGTCTGGCTCGTTCTTTCTGCGCCCGTCGCCTTCTACACTTCCTAGCATGCGCTGTCTCCCTTTCTCCTCCGTGCTTTTTTCAGCTTTCAATGTTCGGACGTGGACTGAGATGTTTTGATTTTGCAAACCAAATGCCTTTTAGTATTATTCTATTGGTGGGATGTTGTTTCACTTGTGATGTCAGTTTGCTGTCTCTGTCTTTCTCTGTCTTTCTCTGTCTTTCTCTCTCTCTCTCTGTCTCTCTCTCTCTCTCTTTCTCTCTCTCTCTCTTTCGGTCTCTCTCTCTCTCTCTCTCCCCTTCTCTGTCCTTCTCTGTCCTTCTCTCTCTCTCTCTGTCTGTCTGTCTGTCTGTGCCTATGCAGGCGCTGCTGCAAGAAGAGCTAGAAGCCTTGGAGACGCAGCGGTCTTCTCTCCGCAAGGTGGTGGGATGCTGGTTTTAGGGGCCGTGGGCCTGTTTTGTTTAAGTGGTGGTGAGTTGCAGGCTATCAAGGAGAACCGCAAGCAGAACAGGTTGGCGCAGAAGCGCAGGAAGAATTTGCTCAAGGCAGACATTGTCTTTTGTAGTTGTCTTTTTCTTGGTGGTAGTTCCATCACTCTACGCAGGCGGCAAAGAAGCTATCTCGTGCTGATCTTCAGCTGCTCATCACGGCCAAAGAGAAGGAAGCAGCTGAGGCAGGAGAGGCGCAGCCCACAGGCGCCAGCTGTGGCTGTTCTAGGATTCTAGGACTCTTGCGTCGACAATCAAAAGCTGCTTTAGACGTTTGTTGGAGTTGCTCACTTTCATTTCCTCCGCAGTGCAACATCATCATCGTTCCCTCCTCTTTCTTACGCAAGCACACATAGTCCTATGTCACTTGCTTGTGACAGGATGATGACGCCCACCGTCGAAAAGGCAGCAGTGAGCTAGGGAATCGTATGCGCCATTGCATTGGCTTGGTGTCAGGGTTGTGGCAGAGAGCAGCTAAAGCCAAGCCATTTACAGGGTGATGGCGGCAACAAGACTAGCGTTGTCAATACAGTCTGACAGACAGGAAAAAGTTAGTTGGGGAACGCCTGCGGCAAGTCTGACTGCAACAACGGAACTGTTGTCTATTTATTGCATTTTAGAGTATAGGGGAAGCGTGCATGTCTTTGGCTTTTCACAAGAATTCTCCCTTCTCGTCTTTTTTTTCATCGGCCTTCCGCCTACTCGATATCCACTGACAAGCACTGACTGCGTGAGATGTTTTCCGAGTGTTGATTTTTCATGTGCCTGAGCGAACAGGGGAATTTTCCTTGCAGTGCGTGGTTGGAATTGGTTTCATCATTTTTGGAAACGCTTTGGTTGTGTAGGTGTAACTATACTTTTGTGGGACCAGCTGCCAAGTTTTGCCCAGTGTTTTGATGGAGAGTTTTGGCGTTTTGCGTGCGAAGTTTTGGATGCAGATTTGCCTTGACAGACACAGCAAAGTTGTGTACATGCTGGCTCTAGCAAATTTGGCAATGGTCTAACCAGTTCTAACAGTATTGTTGCTGAGAAGCAGTTGTTCACATGTAGGCGTGTAACGGATCAGGAGCATTAGTGACCTGACTTCCTGGAAATAGAAGTTTGGACACCCTCTCAACTCCATTCAGCAGGTAGCCATGGAGCAGAAACGTTTGACAACGCAAAGGAAACGGTCTGCCTGCGGGCAATTGAGAACTTTGGCCCTGGAGTTGGGCGTTGAAGAAGGCAATGGTCGTCTTGACATGACAATTCAGCAGTTTGATTCCTTGGCAAATGATTTGGAAATGCGCTGCACCACACCACAGCAGCATGGGAAGTTGCGGCAAGTTGTGGCTCACTTTCACAATCGCCCTGCAGTGCCCCCTTTACCTGGCTCAGTACCGGCGGCTGCTCCACGCGAACCAGAAGACAGAGAAGCGGCAGCGGCTGGGCGGCAGTTCCGGCTGCGGTCCCAAGGCTGTTTGTTCACTTACAATTCAAGCGACTTTGGGGAGCACATGTGGGCAGACTTCCTAGCTTGGATTGGAACATTGGAGTTTCTGAGGCGCTGGAGTGCGACAATGGAGCAGTCTCTCAAGTCTGAAGAGCCTGGCAGGGTCCATTTGCATGTTTTCATGGAATTTGGGCAGGCGGTAGATTGGACATCTTTGCGGTGTGTCGTCTTTATGGGTGTGAGGCCGGACGCGGCTCCTTGTACTGCCCGTGGCCCTCGTCTTCGCCAAGCTTTGGACCACGGCCACTTTTATGTCTATGCCAACAAGGTTGGCACGCTGAGAGTGGAGACTTCTGGTTACATTCCCTGGGAGGATTATCCTGTCAAGGGTTGGTGGTTGGACAACCTCTGGACGGAGCACAAGCTTTCGCATGATATCTATTTGGAATATTCGTGCCTTGGTTGCTCAGGCAGACACCCCGTTTGAAGAAGAGTCTGGACTACAATGTTAGACCCGCCCCACCTGCTAGAGTCTCTATAAGGTACCTCCCACACCCCGCCCCCATTGTAGTATCTTTGTAAAACCCAAACGGGGTGTAGGACCCGACCAGTCTAAACGAGGACCCGAAGGGACCCGAGGAGGACCCGAAGGGACCCGACCACTGCAAATGAGGACCCGAAGGGACCTGAGGAGGACCCGAAGGGACCCGACCACTGTAAATGAGGACCCGAAGGGGCCCGAGAAGGGCCCGACCATTGTACATTAGGACCCGAAAGGACCCGGAAAGGACCCGAGAAGGACCCGGCCATGGTAAGTCCAACCCTGGTCAATCCAAACTGCTTTGGAACTTTGTGTCACACATTTGCATTTGTAGTCTATCTTTTTTTGTGTCGTGTTGTTGTGACTTGTACAGAGTGCATATACTGGCATTGCACCCTTCATTGATCTTATCACATGAACCGCACAGTCGACCAATGTAACGTTGCAGTGTTTCCCCGCTGAGGTACAGAGTCCGTATTGGTTTCATGGGGAGGCAGCGCCAAGTAGATTGTGTGCGAGAACATGAGCGCAAGCTGGCATTTCAGGCGCAGCAGAGACAAGTTGCGGACGCATTGGCGCTGCTGATGCGCCCCTTCCGGCCCGAGGTGCTTAGCAGGCTGCAGCCTTGGGTGAGCCAATACCAATCTGTGCAGTTGAGATACAAGTTCTTGGTTCTCCGTGGAGGCTCTCAGACCGGGAAGTCAACGTTGGCAAAAAGCTTGGGTCACTTGTTTGGGTGGCGCCGGCCATTTGTTCAGACGGTGCAAAGCGCGGAAGCTCCAGATTTGAAAGCTTATAGTCCAGAAGAGCATGGCTATATCCTATTTGACAACGTGAACCACATGGATTTTATTCTCAATGAGCGCGCTCTTTTTCAAGCCAACAATGATCTGCACACCCTGGGAGCATCGCGGACAGGTATTTATTCATATTCGGTGTGGCTCTTTCGTTGCCCTTTGGTAGTCATTGTGGATTTGTCCGCTGTCTGGGAGGGATCAGAGCCGTGGCTTGCGGACAACATGTTTGAGCTGTTTCTCGATGGCCCATGCTATTTGTGATTTGCTGTCCAAGAGGAAAGAGCCATGCTATCAGTGATTGGAAAAGATTTTGCTAGCGCCCAGGTTCGAGGTTGAGGCAGGTGAGCAAAGGTTGCAGCTCAGCGTCGACAGTTGTTGCCTGTTGCTTAGTCTTTTAAATTTGCTACACATGTGAAGTGGAATGGCTTGCGACAAGCCCTCCGTTCTGTTTCAAGGGTTTGGTGAATTGCCATCTGAGTAGGACTCTTTCCTTCAACACATGTTGTGTCAGTTGCCTGTCTTCGCTCTGCAGTATTGTTGCCTGAATTTCTGTGGACACGGGCTCTTAGCGGTGGTTTCTAGGTTTGAACGTTTGGCTGACGCCATGGCAGCAGAGGCAAAAGCTACAGCAAAGGCTGCCGCGAAGCCGAAGGCTAAAGGCAAGGCCCAGGCAGGTTCAGTGTGTATTTTTGACGCATGGTCAGGGTGCCATTTTGGGGTCATGAAATCGTCCAGTTTTTGGTTGCGTTACAGACGGCCTCTACAGTACAACTACAAAGCAACTAACAACCACCTTAGTTCAAGCACAAGATCGCTCAACCTGCACGTCTTCTATTTTGCACGTTTTATTGGAGATGACGAAACCTACAACGATATACTTTTCGTCTTCTTTGAGCACTTGGAGAATACAGTGAAGATTTGAATTTGTATACTTTTGGGTTGTGCCGTCTTGGTTGTGACAACCTTTCCTTCCAGGCAGCAAACCTACAAATATAGGATGAAACAAAGTTTTTTTTCCTTCCAACGCCTTCATGGCTAGGTCGTTCAATAGGGTTTGGAGGCAGGCCTCAGTACAAGTCTTGAACTCCAGTGTCGCGTCACGGCAGGCTTCGAGGCAGGTCGAGGAAGTTTGGTGGCATCATCGACTTCACTGGTAGTGACCTGGCAGAGGGTCATTTGAGTGATGGACTGTGCAAGACGATGGACAGCGGCGTCTTTGATAGGAGTCGGTCGCTCCATTCCAACAGACAAAGTTGTCTACAGGTTTATAGGTGGACTAAGGCTTCAGGGTATTCAACAGGTGTTCACAGTATTGCCACCTTGGTCGAGAACGGGCATGTGGTGGTGTAGTGAAGATCATTGGCCAGTCGAAAGATTGGTTGATCGTCAAACGGCGACGGGCACCATGGCTAGATGTACTTTGACATCGCCCTATACACTACCATGCAATAATTAAGGTAGATCAACCCGAACAAAAAACACCTTAAAAAACGCAGAAAAGCATTATTATAACCGCCCCCCACCGCCTCCCGTCCCATACTGGCGTCGGCATGCTAACAGCAAAGGTAGTCGCAGCGGGCAGTAATCAACCATGAGTACTGAGGAGGCCCCACCCAGGGGGTCCAGAAAACCATGCCGTTTCCGCTGCTAGAAGCGGGAATGCTGCAGCAGGAACTGTTGGAATGCGAAGGTGCTGTCCGATTGTGGTCACGCCACTAGTTTAGTGGCGTTCAGACATTTGGGCCATTCTGCTGGTAATTTGAAGCCCTTAAAAGATTGTCCACTATTTACAGCGTTGCGTGCGTTTCGTTATACGCAACATGTACGCAACACCCACGCAACATAGCGTGTTGCGCAGCCGCGCAACGCTGTAATTTACGATATTTCGCGCCTTCTCCCACACATTTTCGGGACAGCCAGCCTTCTAAACAAAGTTCCACCTTTTTACATCCCGCGGGCACAGAGTACTGTAAAATACAACGTTGCATGGTCACGCAACACGCGTGTTGCGTGCGTGTTGCGTAGGTGTTGCGCATTTTTTTTGTGGTCGGCGCCCGTTGCCTTTCGGCGGGTCGCACTTGAGACTCCCGAGTGGACCAGCAGGGATTCGAACCACCACCGGCAGTCTGTCAGCGCTGGCAAGACCAACGCCATACCAACTGAGCCATCGGGTCGCCTTGCGTAGGTGTTGCGCATGACAGAATCCACGCAACATCCCCAGGGGTGCAGAATTGGAGATTTCCATGCGCACAACAATGACAAAATTTGTCGAGGTTGAGGCGTTCGACCGGAGAGCAGGACAGCAGTCATGACCTTGTAGTGGTGTGGGCCCTTTTCCTTTCTGTTCAGTTTGCAGCCTGGTTCCATTCATCAGTGGATTGATCTGGTGCTGAAGCTTTCTAAAGACTTTTCCAAGTGTGCCATCACTGTCAATCCTAGTACCAGGTATACACGCCGACTACAGAGTGGTGACTGCGGGCAGAGGCGCCGACTGTCGTCTTTTTGTGTGAAGCCATGCGAGTCTGGAGTTGCATCTTTTGGCGACCTTTACCTTCCGATGCTTTAGCTAGTCTTTCATCATCACATGCTATACTTGCAGAAGAGGAAAGCTGTCATTGATTCCATTTGCATTTTTGGCACGGCACGTCGGCCGTCGGCATGTGCATCTCTTATTTTTTGAACAGGTTTTGCTCTGGTGCAGGTTGCGAAGATCAACGCCTAGCCCTCAGTTTTGTTCATTGCTCAGTTTTGCTTTTGATTGCTCAGTTCACAACATGGTGGGCTCGATTTACGTTTTTTCAGATGTAGACAAACATCCGTGACCGACTCTGCTCTTTTGTTCTGTTAGTTCTCCCTTCAACCCGGGCGTAGCTGCAGATTGTGCAGCTGCATGCGTCTGGCGCTCATGCTGTTTCACCTGCTACTGATGTCTCGCATGTGAAGAGATAGATCCTCTTTCGCGCCTTGAGATGAAGAAGATGTGTTGGCAGAAAGATGATTCTATCGTATCTATCCTCTATAGCCTTCCCCTGTAACCCCTACCTAGCAATGTTGGATTCGGCCCCATTGTGTTCCAAACTTGCCCCTCCAAAACTTGATGTTCACTCCACAACTTTGCTTACTGGGGACGCGGAGGGATATCATTGTGTATGCAGCTGCTTTGATCGTGCAGAGCAATGCCGCTAAAGAGGGGTTGCGCCGGAGGCTGCTGCATTGAGGCCATACAGGGGGGTGTCGGGGATGTCATTGTGTGCGCAGTTGCTTTGATCGCAGCAATGCCACCAAAGAGGGGGTTGCGCCGGCAGCTGCTGCATTAAGGCCACGCAGGGAAGGGCTTGTTTTAAGGGTCATTGTGGCGGAGGAGAGATTGCAGAAACATGTGGTGGGGGGCAGTACAATCTGCGCGGACGAATTTTGGCCGTTGTAAAAATACATTCTTCGCGTCATGTCTGTTTCATGCTGATTGGAATTGTCGTAGTGCCATTGTATTTCACCACGCACAGCATTGTATTTTGAAAGTGGGAAAATTTTCCCGCGCATGTCCCTGCCGCGTATTTCTGCAGTCTCTCCTATCGTGCCTAGTCCACCCATATCTTCTCCGCAACCTTTTCCAGTTGTTGTTTTACAGCTTTCGACAGGTTCGTTTCTGGGCGTGGATTGGTGCTACGAAAATGGACCCCTTGGGAGGGGGCCCCCTCAGTTCGGAGAAAGTACGCTGGAATTTAGGACCATTGCCATCTTGGACGTTGGGATTTGCCGTTTGCAATTATTGTGTTTCCACAGTGTCTGAAAATGGGCTTGCCTGGCGCTGCCTTTTTTTGGATGTCGCGACGCCGTTTTTAGCCTCGTCCGGCATTGAAAATGAAATAAAGACGTGCTATGGAACGGGCGCGGGCAGAATTAAAAATGGGAGCGTCTGGCGAGCCCGTTTTTGGCTTTGCCGCATCTAGTACGTTGCCCTTTATTGCCCACGGCGGGCTGGTAGAGCAAGCTTCAGTTGCAACCATCAGCAAAGCAGCAATGCAACTGAGGAGGCCCCACCCAGGGGGTCCAGAAAACCATGCCGTTTCCGCTGCTAGAAGCGGGAATGCTGCAGCAGGAACTGTTGGAATGCGAAGGTGCTGTCCGATTGTGGTCACGCCACTAGTTTAGTGGCGTTCAGACATTTGGGCCATTCTGCTGGTAATTTGAAGCCCTTAAAAGATTGTCCACTATTTACAGCGTTGCGTGCGTTTCGTCATACGCAACATGTACGCAACACCCACGCAACATAGCGTGTTGCGCAGCCGCGCAACGCTGTAATTTACGATATTTCGCGCCTTCTCCCACACATTTTCGGGACAGCCAGCCTTCTAAACAAAGTTCCACCTTTTTACATCCCGCGGGCACAGAGTACTGTAAAATACAACGTTGCGTGGTCACGCAACACGCGTGTTGCGTGCGTGTTGCGTAGGTGTTGCGCATGACAGAATCCACGCAACATCCCCAGGGGTGCAGAATTGGAGATTTCCATGCGCACAACAATGACAAAATTTGTCGAGGTTGAGGCGTTCGACCGGAGAGCAGGACAGCAGTCATGACCTTGTAGTGGTGCGGGCCCTTTTCCTTTCTGTTCAGTTTGCAGCCTGGTTCCATTCATCAGTGGATTGATCTGGTGCTGAAGCTTCCTAAAGACTTTTCCAAGTGTGCCATCACTGTCAATCCCAGTACCAGGTACACGCCGACTACAGAGTGGTGACTGCGGGCAGAGGCGCCGACTGTCGTCTTTTTGTGTGAAGCCATGCGAGTCTGGAGTTGCATCTTTTGGCGACCTTTACCTTCCGATGCTTTAGCTAGTCTTTCATCATCACATGCTATACTTGCAGAAGAGGAAAGCTGTCATTGATTCCATTTGCATTTTTGGCACGGCACGTCGGCCGTCGGCATGTGCATCTCTTATTTTTTGAACGGGTTTTGCTCTGGTGCAGGTTGCGAAGATCAACGCCTAGCCCTCAGTTTTGTTCATTGCTCAGTTTTGCTTTTGATTGCTCAGTTCACAACATGGTGGGCTCGATTTACGTTTTTTCAGATGTAGACAAACATCCGTGACCGACTCTGCTCTTTTGTTCTGTTAGTTCTCCCTTCAACCCCGGCGTAGCTGCAGGTTGTGCAGCTGCATGCGTCTGGCGCTCATGCTGTTTCACCTGCTACTGATGTCTCGTATGTGAATGGTTGGGAAGAGATAGATCCTCTTTCGCGCCTTGAGATGAAGAAGATGTGTT